TTTCAGTTTATTCACTGTATCTCACTCACTCCTCCCGCTCAATCCCACCGTCCCACTTCCCCACCCATGTCGCTTTCCCAGTCCACTAAAAAGGGAGGTCCTCCTCCCCTTCCCTGTGACCTTAGTCTATCAGATCTCATCAGGAGTGGCTGCATTATCTTCTTCTGTGCCCTAGCAAAGCTGGTCCCCCATCAGGGGGAGATGATCAAAGAGCAGGCCAATTAGTTCATGTCAGAGACAGTTTCTGTCCCCATTACTATGGAGACCACTTTGATACTGAACTGTCATTGGCTAGCTCTATGCAGGGGTTCCAGGCCATCTCCATGAGTAGTCTGTGGCAAGAATATCAGAAAAGACTGCTGTGCCCAGAATTTTAGGATCTGTTGCTGTCCTTGTGGAGCTCCTGTCCTCTCTAAGTCTTACTATATCCACTTCTTTCATAAGATTCCCTATACTTTGCCAAAGTTTGGCTATGAGTCTCAACATCTGCCTCAAGACCCTGCAGGGTAGAGCCTTTCAGAGGCCCTCTGTGGCAGGCTTCTGTCCTGTTTCCTGTTTTCTCCAGCCTCCTATGTCCATCCTCTTTGCCTTTCTGAATGGGGATTGAGCATCTTAGCCAGAGTCCTCCTTCCTGATTAGCTTCTCTAGGTGTACACATTTTAGTTTGTTTATCCTATATTATATGTCTAGTATACACTTATGAGTGAGTATATTACCTGTGTGTCTTTCTGCTTCTGGGATACCTCACTCAGGATGATCTTTTCCAGTTCCCACTATTTACCTGCAAATTTCATGATTTATTTGTTCAACGTCTTTAGTCATCAGGGAAATGCAAATCAAAATGACCCAGAGATTTCACCTTACACCCATCAGATGGCTAAGATGAATAACTCAAGTGACAACACACACTGAAGAGGATGTGGAGAAAGGGGAAAACTCCACCACTGCTGGTGAAATGTAAACTTATGCAACCACTTTGGAAATCAATCTGGTGCTTTCTCAGACAACTAGGAATAGTGATTCCTCAAGATCCAGCTATACCACTCCTAGGCATACATCCAAAACATGTTCAAGTATACAAGTAGGACATTTGCTCAACCATGTTTGTAACAGCTTTATTTGTAATAGCCAGAACCTGGAAACAGCCCAGATGCCCCTCAATTGAGGAATGGATACAGAAATTGTGGTACATCTACACAATGGAATATTACTCAGAGATAAAAGACAATAGCTTCTTAAGAAGGGTTGGGACCACATGGAACCATCCTATAGGCATACTACATTGTTGAAGGTCCAGGTCTAATGCTAGTCCTTTTCTTTTCTCTTCTTTTTTATATATATCCACACTTGATGTTATTTCATGTTTCAATGACCAAGAATATTCAACAGACAATGTTTCATAACACTTCCCCATTTTCCATGTTTTATGTTATATTCTGTCTTCTATTTTGAGATACTTCCTGGTCTTTGCAGCTGTCCCACTAAGGAACATTTATTTTCAGTATTTCCAACAATTAAATGTCTCTGCATTAACCTCTGTTCATTTCTTTTTAAAAAGCTTCTCTGTTCATACCTGAGAGTTTAAATGCCTCCTGGAGAAAAAAAAATACTTAAGAGGCAATTTAACACCATTCCTACTTATCAATAATAATAAGAAGAAAACAAAAAACCAAAAACAAAAAATTTCTCCACTGAAGTCTGTGACCTCACTAGCTACAGCCTTTTATTAAAGTTTATAGTATCAGGTGTGTGTATCTGAGAATGTCTCCAATCAGATCTGAAGGTTACTGGTTATCCCACAAACTGCTGTGTCACTATTGCATCAGTGGGCAAATTTCACCAGACAGCTCCAGAGATATATCAGACAATTCATGATTTTTCTCCTCCATAAGAAAATATGGCACTTTGGGAACAATGAACAGTAGCCAGTAGAAAGGAATGCTCTAAGGAGTCTTACTTTGATCTTCTATAAAACTAAAATGCACTTACAAATTTTGCACACATAATGACATAATCATTCCTATTCCAGAAGGATTTTCTGATATCAAAATAATAAGAAGAAAGGATTGACAGGAATAAGAACAGTGAGCGCTTTGATACACTGCTTGGTAGAGTCTTTCAGAGGCCCTCTGTGGTAAGCTCCTGTCCTGTTACTTGTTTTCTCTTACATCCAATGTCCATCCCATTTATCTTTCTAAGTGAGGATTGATCATCTTACCCTGGGTCCTCTTTTTTGTTTATCTTCTTTAGGTGTATAGATTTCAGTATGTTTATCCTATCTTATAGGTCTATGTAAGTGAGTATATACCATGTGTGTCTTTCTGCTTTTGGGATACCTCACTCAGGATGATTGTTTCTAGGTCCCACCATTTGCCTGCAAATTTCATGATTTCCTCGTTTTTAATTGCTGTGTAGTATTCCATTGTGTAAAAATACCACAATTTCTGTATCCATTCCTCAACTGAGAGACATCTGGGTTGTTTCCAGGTTCTGGCTATTACAAATAAAGCTGCTATAAACATGGGTGAGCAAATGTCCTTGTTGCATACTTGGGCATCTTTTGGATATATGCCTAGGAGTGGTATAGTTGGGTCTTGAGGAAGTGCTGTTCCTAATTGTCTGAGAAAGTGCCAGATTGATTGTACAAAGTGGTTGTACTAGTTTGCATTCCCACCAGCAATGGAAGAGAGGGTTCCCCTTTCTCCTCTCCAGCATGTGTTGTCACTTGAGTTTTTGATCTTAGCCATTCTGATGGGTGTCAGGTGAAATCTCAGGGTTGTTTTTATTTGCATCTCTCTGATGGCTAGGACAATAGTAAGACTCATAACCAGACCTTCAGCAGAGTTCAGGGAATCATAAGAAAAAATGACCTGGAGAGGACAGGAGCTCCACAAGGACCAACTATATCTGGGCACTGGGGTCTTTTATGAGACTGTTTCTCCAACCAAGGACCATGTATGGATATAACGTACAACCTCTGTTCGGACGTAGTCCATGGTAGCTCAGTATCCAAATGGGTATCGTAATAAGGGGAACAGGGACTGGTTCTGACATGAACTCAATGGCGGGCTCTTTGACCTCCCCCCCCCTGCTATGCCCCATAGGAGGACCTTGCAGCCAGTCCTGAAGATACCTGATAAATCAGGATCAGATGAAAGGGGAGGAGGGCCTCCCCTAACATTGGACTTAGAAAGAGACAGGGAGGAGATGAGGGAGGGAGGGTGGGATTAGGAGGGAAATAGGGAGCGGGATACAGCAGGGATTCAAAGTTAACAAACTGTAACTATTATTAAAAAAATAAAATAAAATAAAAATGAACAATGAGAGCTCAGCAGAGCAAACACCAAACCCTGTGGCTCCATGTGCTCTAGCATCTGGAGCACATGATGCATCATATGTTCCTGTACTCTTCACTTCTGCTGCCAATGACAGCCTTGCCCATGAGTTGGATGCAATCTCTGAAGGCAAATATTTACAGAATATCCTATGACTCTGTCATTAAACACTCCTGGGTCTCCACTTCATCTTAGACTTCCCAGTCACAACTTCAAGCAGCCATCTTCTGTGAATCTTTTCAGGGACTCCAGCCATGACATTCATGGTTTAACCTCAGCTTCTCTGCAAAATGATGCAATGACTTTATTTCCCACAATTGTGTATCTTTCATTTCCACCAAACAAATCCCACAAAGACAATGCTGCCAACTTTTTCTCCAGCTGGAGATGGCAATGAAGCCTGACACTGAGGCTTGAGGTCTTTTGTGAAATAATCCTAGGGAACCCGTTTCCTAGGTAGTTGATTCCAAGCAGTGAATTCCTCCTACTTTTCTTTCTGCTTTGTTCTCAGTTAATATTTTTATCCTTTTGTATAAGGTCACATGTCACAAGACAGACCTGTTGACTGGTTTGGCTTTGTCCTTGGATCACACTTGCTATTATAACAGTGCAGCATAAAGTGTTTATTTTTGAGAAATGAGGCCTTTTTTTTTTGTTTTCAACACACAGCTGATTTTTCTAAAGTTAAATTGCTGGAATTCTTTCCACCATAAAAACCACTATTTTGTTGTTGCTTGTTTGTTTTTCTTTTACATATTTCTGCCTATATTGCTGCTCCCTTTCCTTGTGGATCTGGACATGTGCAATAAAAAATAGACAAACCATACATTAAATATTCTATTGGCTTAAAGTTTCTTCTCACCAAATAAAGAATTACCTGCAACCAATTTCTTACAGGAGAGGTAAAGTGAAAGCAGAGTCTTCAGCCAAATACCATGCAAATGAATCCTGGTGTATTTTCTGCTTGAGTCCTTCATTAATTGATCTCTTGATGAAAGCTTTAATTGTCTAAAGTTTCTGAGGAACGTTATTTTCTAAGCTCTTTCCTAAGTAGCCCATGAAACACTATCTCTGGCATGCTAGGCCTTTTCTAGCCTAATGAACCAAATTCTGACCTTAAAGCCCCAAATCAGTTCTAAAGGCCTAAATTCCTATGATTATGTTTATTAAAACTATAGCACTCCTTATACTAATTTTTGTATCAGTTATGTTATTCTTTGCTGCAATAGCATTCTTGACACAGTGATTTAATGAAGGAAAAGTAGGTTGGGTTATACAGTTCAGTGTGTTAGTCTGTCATGGTTGGTGCTTATGACAGCAGGAGGTTGAGGCAGCTGGTTTCATTGTATCCATAATCTGGAAGAAGATCAATTAATATCTGTGCTTTGCTATCTTTCTCATTTTTACAGAGTTCATGGCACAAGCCAAAAGAATAACTCCCATATTTCTTATGGAATTTCCCACATTAATAAAATTATTTAAGAGGAACCCTCACTGATGTTCCTAGTGGTTAGCCTAATCAAGAAAATTCCTTACATGTGTGCCTGGAGGCTTGTCTCCTAAATGATTGCAGAGTTTGTGAAGATGACTATTAAAACTATGGTCACAGGCTCCCTCAGGCAGAGGCACTGCTGAGGGGAAACCAAGGTCCAGTCATGATCCAGGATGTCTAAGAACATGGTGTCATTGTCCTATTTCCGGAAGGTAGACTTAGATAAATATCATGAGAACAAGTTTGTGGAAAAGGAGGGCTATGGCAATGGTCAAGCCAGGCCTGATGAGGGTGAGTTGGACTCATGCCTGCAGCATGGAAACATAACTGCTCTCCAGGCTGCTCTGAAACACCCCCCTATCAACACAAAGAGTAAGGTAGTGAAGGACCAGGTAGGCAGCATTGTCTTGAAGGTGCTCATCTCTTTAAAAGCTAATGATACTGAAAAACCTGTTCAGTCTCTGGATAAGAATGATATGGACCTCTTAATGAAGTATATTTACAAAGGTTTTGAGAGCCCTACTGGCAACAGCAGTGCTGTTACTACAGTGGCATGAAAAAGCATTTGCTGTTGGCTGGGTCCAACGTTCATGTTTTGACTGCAAGAAAAACTGTGTAGTGCAGCTGAAACTGGACGTCATTCACAGGAGTGGGTGTTGCTGGTACAAAGACCAAAACAACCAAACAGTACTGCTGCCCTGTGGGTAGCATCTACTTCTCTCAACTTTGCCTTCCTGCTTCTAGCTAGAGTAATAAGACAATTAAAAGAGAACAAGGGGATACAAATTGGAGAAGAAGTCAAAATATTGCTATTTGCAGATGATATGATAGTGTATGTAGGCAAACCCAAAAATTCCACCAGAGAACTCCTAAAGCTGATAAAAAGCTTTAGCAGAGTGGCTAGATACAAGATTAATTAAAGAAAAAACAACAACATAAAACAAACAAACAACAACAGTAGCCCTCCTGTATACAAACAACAAACGTGCTGAGAGAGAAATTAGGGAAACTATACCCTTCATAAAAGCCACAAATAATATAAAGTTTCTTGGTTTAACTCTGATCAAGCAAATAAAAGCCCTGTATGACAAGAACTTCAAGTCTCTAAAATTGAAGAAGATATCAGAAGATAGAAAGATGCCCATAATTGTAGATCAGTAGGATTAACATAGTAAAAATTGCCATCCATACCCAATGAGATCTACACATTCAATGCAGTCCCCATCAAAATACCTACACAGTTCTTTACAGACCTAGAAATGACAATTCTAACAAATTGTTCTTCTTGAAACTGAAAACTTTCTGTAAGAAAAGGGGATTGGGAGGAGACGAGGGAGGGGGAGACTGCCAGGATACAAATTGAATAAATTATAATAAATTTAAAAAGGAAAAAAAAGGAAACTGCCAATAGAACAAAATTAGTGTACTGATTGGAAAAAGATCTTCACCAATCCTACATCTGACAAAGGGTTAATATCCAAAATATATAATAAACTCAAGAAATGAAAAAACAATAAGCAAATAGGACACAGAACTAGACAGAGGAATATCAAATGGCCAAGAAACGCTTAAAGAAGTGATCAACATCCTTATTCATCAGGGAAATGCAAATCAAGAGACTCTGAGATTCCAGCTCACACAAGTCAAAATGGCTAAGATCAAAATTTCAAAGGGCAGCACATGCTGGCCAGGGTGTGGAGAAAGGGGAACACTCCTCCATTGCTGGTAAGAATGTAAATTTGTACAACCACTTTGGAAAACAACCTGGCACTTTCTCAGATTTGGGAATAGCTTTACTTCAATATCCAGCTACACCTCTCCTGGGTATCTACGTAAAAGACGATAGACCATTCAACAGATACACTTCTATGAACTATGTTCATAGAGGCTTTACTCACAATTGCCAGAATCTGGAAACAACCTAGGTGGCCCTTAACCAAAGAATGGATAACTAAACTGCCACATTTATACAATGGAATACCACTCCTCTATTGAAAACAAAGAATTCATGAAATTTGCATGCAAATGGATGAAACTAGAAAAGATCATCCTGAGTGAGGTAACCCAGACCAAGAAAGACACACATGGTATATACTCACTTATAAGTGGAATTTAGCCTGATATTACAGGATAAGCATACCATGAGGCGCAAAACCAAAGAAGTACCATAGAGGATCCAAGGGAAGGTGCATAAATCTCACATGAAAGACGAGCAAGAATAGACAGAGGTGATGGCTAATAAGAGGAACAAGGTAGAAGAGGGGAAACAGAGTTAAGAGGATGGAGATCAGACCTGGGGAAAGCTAAGGCAAGAAGACAGAAAGACTGTAGAGAAAAAGAAAAGAGAAACTGAGGGTGGGATTATCTCTGTGACAAGCTGGGGACCTAAGTCAAGGTAGGCTCCTGGGAGTATTTGAGGGGGACTCAACCAGAGACTCCTAATAGCAGAGGCCATAGTAACTGAAGAGAACACCCTCTAACTAGCCTAGTTTCCTAGCAGAGAGAAAGGAACACCAACCCACCTACAAAAACTTCAACTTAAAAGTTACCTTGCCTACAAGATGTACAGGTATGAAGATAGAGCAGAGATTGAGGGAATGCCTAACCAATGCTTGGCTTAACAAAAAACCCACCCTATGGGAGAGTGCCAACCCTTGACACTATACAGGATACTCTCCTAAACTTGCAGACAGTAGCCTGACAGCCTTGTCTTCTGAGGGATTCTACCTGAAAACAGATGCTGATATTCACAGCCAAATAGTGAAAAAAAAAAAAAAAGAGAAAGAGAAAAAGATCTGGAGGTGAAAGAAACTTCACAAGAAGACCAACAGAGCCAACTAACCAGGGCCCAGATAGGCTTACTGAGACTGAAACATCAACCAAGAACCATGCATGAACTGGGTCTGGGCCCCTTACACAGAAGTAGCAGATGGACAGCTTAGGCTTCATGTGGATCCTCTAATAAGGGAAGTAGGGACTGCATTGGACAGGAAATCACTTGCCAGGATTTTGATCAATTTCTCCTGGTGAGACTGACTTGCCAGGCTCCAGGGAAAGGAGACATGCTGAGTCCTGATGCAACTTGAGGATCTGGGGTAGATTGGAAAGGAAGCTCCCCTTTTCTGAGGAGGAGAGGAGGAGGGAAAGGGAGAGAGGGGTGGTGGGACTAGGAGGGGCTAACACAAGGACGTAAATTGAATAATAAGAAAAATTAAAAACCATCTGTCGCCATATCCATTTTATTTCTTTGTCATATTGTATTAGCTAAAACATGAAGCATTGAATATGAGTCATGAGAGTGTACACCTATGAGTTGTCCCTGATTTTAGTGGAAATGTTTTAAGTTTTCTCTTCCTTAAGAAAATTCATCTTGAGAATTCATAAGTCTTCTGCTTTTTTTCCCCCATTTCATTTATTTATTTTTACACATCCCAAAAAAACATTTTTCACAATGTATTCATTATATATCCCAAGTGAAGTGCCCTCCCTCAACTCTTCCCAATCCCTCCCTCCCTTCCTCTTTCACAGTATCCCCTTCCCCTTGTCCACTGAAAGGGGGAGTTCTCTCCTTCTGTCATCTGCCCATAGCTTGTCAAGTCTCATCAGGAATTCCTGGATCCTCTTCCTCTCTGGCCTGGTAAGGCCACATAACCAACAGCGAGTGATAAAAGAGCAGGCAACCAAGTACATGACAGAGGCAGCTCCTGCTTCCCTTACTAGGCAATCAACATGGAGACTGGACTGCCAAATGGCTACATCTGAGGAAGGGGTCTAGGTACTCTCTATGTATAGTCCCTGCAGGAACACCTGGGCTCAAATATTTTACCTTTGTTTGTCTCCTTGTGGGGTTCCTGCCCCTCCAGGTCTTTCTATCCCCATACCCTCTTCTTCCATGAGATTGCTTGAGCTCCTCCCAAAGTTTGGCTGTGAATCTCAGCATATGCTTTGATCCCCTCTTGGGTGGAGCCTTTTAGAGAACCCTCTAAGTCTTCTGCTTTTGTGTACAAATACCTCTATCTGTAGGCAGGTATGCCTGGAATTGGAAGCAATCTTTCCAAACAAGCCTATTGTGTAGTGGAATTAAATTATAAGACTCAAAAAAAAAAAATTTAAGACTCTGTTAGTTTGAATCATAACTTAAAAAGTGAAAATGTAGATTCTAGATGTCAAAGGATATTTATTCCTTTCATCTTATCTGTAAGAGAATTTTAAAGCATGTTTAATATAAGAGAACTGACCGTTGAATCTACATCTTAATAGAAAACTTGAAGAGGCAATTAGATACTTTCAGAAAGGGAACATACCAGTTTGGTACTTTATTTTTATAAGCACTGATTCATACTCATTTTTTATCTATTCAAACACCATAGGATATAAAGAATTTAAATGATTCTTGAAAATATTAAGAATGAGCCATTCCTCCAGCCCTATAAATTAAATAATTTAATGCTAATCAAAAATATTAAACAATCTCCTCCACCTTTTCCTGATGGCATGCTTCATTTCCTTATTCCTGAAAATGTAAACCATAGGTTTCAGCAATGGTGTCAAGACATCAGCAAATATAAACACACATTTCTAAAAAGAGAATGCAGAGGTATTTTGTGCATATATTAAAATGTATGGGACAAAGGACAAAAACACGATAGTAATGTGAGATCCACAGGTGGAGAGTGCTTTGTGCTGCCTTCCAGAACTATGGGCTCTCAGAGAGAACAGGATAACACCATAGGAAACAAGCAATTAGGAAAAAAAATGATGCAGATATACCCAACATTAGCAAACACCAAAATGACAAAATGTGTGTATTGATGTAGGCAAGCATTAGTATTGGGAACAAGTCACATGTAAAATGATCAATAAAGTTGTATCCACAGAATAGCAGTTGCAATGTGAATATGCTCTGTATTACAGAATGCAAGAAGCCTGCTACCCAATCTGCTCCCACCAGAATGCCACAGAACCTCCGGTTCTGGATGGAAGAGTAGTGCAGAGGCTTGCAAATGAGCACATAGTGATCATAAGCCAAGGCTAACACTTGTGAAAAAGTGAACAGAAAACAGTTGTATCATGCAACATTCAAAGGAGATCATCTTTGTTCCACAAAGTCTACAATTACCTTGGAAGTGATTACAGAAGAAATGCATGCATCCAGAAAGGATAGGAACAACAAAAAGAAGTACAGTACACAGGGGAGCCAAAAGCATAGGACTGCATGCAATTGTTACCACAGATAACATGTTGACCCCAGTAGTTGTAAGGTAGATGAACAACAACAAAACAGACAGTGTTTCCTCAACTTTTAGGTTCTGTGAAAGTCCCAGGAGTATGAACTCAGTGACAATGCTCTGGCTTAGCATAATTCTTAAGAAAAAGTATTCTGGGTTGTAGACTCAGTCTCCAAATGTGTTCCATAGCAAGGGTAGCAGGGCCTGTCTCTAGCATGAACTCAGTGACATGCTCTCTGATCAACTTCCCCTGAGGGTGCAGCCTTTCCAGGCCACAGAGGAAGACAATGCAGCTAGTCCTGATGAGACTTGATAATGTAGGGTCAGAT